TAAGGTCAATTTTAGGCTGATTTATGGTTGAATTTAATCTGAATGGCTATGTCCGATTGGAGTCGATCGGTGTCTATTGACGTCTGAATTATTGCCAAATTAAGGCCAGTTTTAGGCTGATTTATAGTTGAATTTAAATTCTGAATGATCATGTCCGATTGGGATCGATCAGCATCTATCAGCACCTGTTTGTGCCGATCGGAAAACATGGTAAATCAGCCATAAATAGTATCAAAATCAGCCTAAAATTAGCCATCTGATTTTTAGCTGATTTGGACTATTTCGACTAGTGACATTATTATAGATTTTAATAATGTATGTGTTTCTTTTATGTATAAAGTTATATATAAAGCTATAGATTATTTGTAAATTTAAAAAATTTTAAATGGAGCATGCTGCAACAAAACCAAACAAAGTAAACATTTTATTATGTGATATAAATAAGAGGCTGATTATGATATGGCTGTAAAATTGACCAGTATAACTGATGCTGTTTTGAAAGATAATAATGATATATTCATAACTTATAGGTTTGCTAATTTTAATATTCCCTTTATCATACTGAATGTGATGAATATAAACCATAACAGAAGTAATATAGGATTACCTCTATATAAAAATATTAATATGAAACTAATTTACATTAAATCTATTATGAAATCAAAAAATTATAGCATTATTAAAAGTATTCTAAAAAAAGAACAATTACTTTCTTAACTTCAATCAAGGTCATCTCTTTTTTTTAACCTTAATTTGAGTAATATGTGAAGTAATATTGCCAGCTGATAATCATTTTAAAAATCTCTGAAATCTGAAATTCTATAATCTGAAACTAAATTATTTCTGAAAACTGAAATTTTCTCTAAAATATATTAATTCTTCTGAAACTCTGAAACTAATTTTAGAGTTATATTTACTATTTAACTATATAAGTTTTAGTGATTTATAACCAAAATTTATCTGAAACTTATATTATTCATTTATTATATAGCACTGAAACTTCTCTGATAATAATAAATTGATCAAATTTAATTAAATTTAATTAAGATATTAAATTAAAAATATTTGAAAAGTTATTTACCAGCCTTTTGCAGAATATAATACCAATATAGCTTTCTTATACCAAAGACCTGAGTAAATTAATTCTACAAATAATGATTTAATCCTGAAAATTAATACTAATACATTAAAATATTCATAATACAGGAAAAATATCATTATAACTGTTGATAGTATACGAAATGTTACTCAAGATAATGATTCATTCATAAATGAAATTATTTTTAATGAAAACGAACAAGAAAATCATCTTGATGACTATGAGAATAATAATAATGTTAGTGATGATCAAGAAACTTATTTTTATAAATCAGATGAATGTTATGATAATGATAATTGAGAATCTTATTTTTATGAGTCAGATAATAATGATTAAGAAACCTATTCTTAAGGGTCAGATGAATGTGATGATAATGATGATGATGATCAAGAAAAATACTTTCGGGAATATGATAAATATGACGATGATAGTGATAAAGATATATCTTTTATATTTAAAAATTAATATGATAGATTTCAAAATATATCATCTTATCACGGTGAAGCTAAACCTTACTTTCCAAATAAATCTGTGATGTTGATATTTATCTGGTATACAAAACATATGATAGGTAATAACAAGTAGATTTTTTTTTGTATTCTTTGACAATTAACTAATCAGTCAACCAATAGGATCTCATGCTTATCAGGATTTAGTAAAAATTTTACGATATTCAGACTTTCGTATATCTGATTTACCCTCAATATTATAACACTGAAATAAATGCGACATGGTCTTCCATTGATAGTTCTAAATAGTCATAATGTTAATATTAATTTGATGGATACTCTATCTACATCTGTTTTTTAAAGAAGGTTATACATTTTCTATTATTGATCACATTTAACGTATTCTTAACAATCTATCAATTTATCCAAAATTATACTTTAGTCCTAGTGTTGAAGCTTTAAAAAAGTTAGAGTTATAGCATAGACGAATATAAAAAGAATCACCACTATTTAGCGAAATATCACTTATGATCAATAATGGTAATATTTATGATTTTATAATGTTGTAATCGTTTATTTTCTAAACCATTTTATGATACAATTTTTTAGTACTTTATCAAGCTGGAGACTTTGTACTCTATAATATTCAGAATAAAACAACTGTGATTCAGTGGTTAAGACAGATTAATGGTATTATGATACTAAATGAGAATAGTGAAGAAAAGTTAGTGTATATTTAAAAAATTGTGTATTATATAGAACTTTCAGGTAATATTAGATCATCTGATCATTTAATTCAATCAAGAAACAATACTGTCTGATTAACTAAGAATCAGGAAATGATTCATACAAAAGATATAATTCGTCATGTTAAGATATGGCTTGAAGATTTACTGAAACCTGCAAATTATAATTATCATATTGGGGAAATTCTGTATATGCATAATAATCGATCAAAAATTAGGCAAATACATTAATGACATAAATTACCATATTAGTATAATTTCCAAAGGCTGCCTCTTTCATCTAATTTACAACATTTAAAATTCTTTATTGATTTATATTATAATGACTTTAGCGTATTTGGTAAGACATATCATAAGCTTGACGGACTTTATGTATAATTTGAGAACATGCCACTTTTGATGAGACAACATCTCAAAAATTATTTTTTAGTCAGCTTGGTCCCATTTAGTGCAGAATTTAGCATGGCAGACATTTGTATGATTGGTCGATTTTTATGTCGATCATTTCCTAATTGTTATTGAAATGATTAATTT